TCAATCAACAGGTGTACAGATTCCCGAGCCTATTGGGCTCTATCATATCTACACTTGAAACTGTGTATGGAGTCAGCCTCCACCACATCACTTCCTAATGCATTCCATTTGTCAACCACTCTGACACTAAAAAAGTTCTTTCTGATATTTCTGTGGCTCGTTTGGGCACTCAGTTTCCACCTGTGTCCCCTTGTGCGTGTTCCCCTTGTGTTAAATAGCCTGTCTTTATCTACCAGATAATGTGTCTTATGTGTGACGTCATGCTCGTTTGCTTGTTTCTTTTTGGGGAATTCTATCACTTGTTCGGCTTTTGGTAGCAATTTTCACTAGAATAGGGGGTTTGTTTTGGGATGCTCACCTTTCTGGATGCCTGACCCGGTTGATGGCAGACATAGAGTGCTTCCAACCACATAGGGGCTTCTATAGGCCATTGCTCCCCGTGCCTCTCTGAGGATGCCAGGTTCTGGCTCGTGGTCCCCGGTAGGCCCACAGGCTCCATACACATGACTGATGCCAAAGTCTGACATTAACATATCAGCCTGGATAAGCTCCCGGGAGCCTCCGGATCTCACCCAGAAAATGGCATTTCATTACATTCTACGCTGCTTTTTTTTTCCCTTGCAGTGTTGTCGGCTATTAATAGCTGCACTGTCCTGGGGTTAATATCATTGGTATTATATACATGTGTTGTGATATTATATGTATGTGTGTTGTCATGTCTCAATGAATTTGAATTTTATATCTTCCAGAAAAAGTTTATCTTATGATATCAAATAAAAAAATTTATACTAAAAGATAAATGCCTTTAACTCCTGCACTACTCACCATAACCAGGCTTGTTTCATTGAAGGTGCACACCACAACCAGGTTTTTTTTAGGCCTATCAAAATTTAAAACTCCAATGCATGCATGAGGGTCACATTTGCTTCCTCAGGCCTCCAGTAACCATCCCCCATCTTAAAAATAAATCCTGTCCCTCACTTTCTTTCTAGGGCCTTTATAGGAAGATCAGGACGATGTCTGGCACTTCATCCAATGTCTAAATATGGTGGATGGCTGTACTTGGAGTCATTGTACTTTTAACAACAACAACAAGAGTGATTACTATGTATTCAGAGGACCACTTGCCTTGTGAATCCCTCGGGGATGAGACCCGTTGGTTACCGTGTAAGCTTGTAAACGGGAAATGTAGGAAAAAAAATAAATGAGAAATGTAGCAAACAAACCTAAAGGAAAAAAATCGACAGGTTCATAGTACAGTATAAATGAGACAGTATTTTGTTTGTACTCGCCAATAAAAGAAGTCCTGATCCACTTGTTATGTTGATGATCATTGTTGATGTAGCAGTTATTTACATAGAAGAAGTGGTGGTGGATGTTGATGGTCTTGGGTTGACTGAAGTGGAGAATAATGGTGATAAGGTAACCTCAGATGTTGAAGCAACATGTGAGGAGTCAGATGCAAGTGAGGAAATGCGAGGTTTTTTGAAAGCCTTTGCAAAAATCTTTAAGTGACATTTGTTTCATTCCCTATGATCTTGTTTTAAAAAACTTCATATACAAATTGTACTGGTCAGGCAAGCATTTACAGTTACAAGTCAGTCATAACCAGTCAAAGGCTGTTAGGCATTCACAGTTGTGGTAGCAACCAGTCACAGTTTTTAATTACAGAACAACAATGTTTTGTACTTTCACAAACCCAATGTATCTTTTTGTATATAAGTCAGTCAGGGCAGTCTGCCTTCAAGGTTACCATCATCTGGTAGGAAGGTAGCTGAGAAAATAAACTGTATTAATACACATCAGCACACGCCTGGAGGGTAGGGGGAATATTTCTGGGAGGGTCCAGTGTGGGGGATTGGGAGGGGGGGCGGTAGGATGTAACATGACCACAGCCAGTTTATGATTGTCTGCCTCCCCTCTTGAACCTACCCAAGGCCACCTACCCGCCCAAACCCACCCAAGCCTGCCTAATGAGCCCATCTACCCACATGAACCCACCCAAGCCCACCAATAGGTATTTGTTTCTGGTGTGGTGCCCATGGGTTCTGTTGCAACCTTCTAGGACATGTTTAAGGTCAGGATTGGTATTACTGTTCAGAGTTTTAAATATATAGAGTACACGTGAAAGGATGTGCAGTGACTTAACATCTAACATATATAAAGATTTAAGTAAAAGTACCGAGTGCTGTCTGGGGCCAGAGTTTGATATTGTTTTAATACCAGCTTTGTGTTGAGTAATTAGAGGACGTAAATGATTTTGGGTAGTAGAACCCCAAGCACAAATACCATAATTGAGATAAGGATAGATGAAAGAGTAATAGAGCATCACCAGGGCACGGCGAGGTACATAACATCTGATCTTAGAAAGAATGCCAACAGTTTTAAAAACTTTTTTTGCTATATTTAGAATGTGACCCTGGAAATTCAGCTTGTTATTGATGAGGACATCAAGGAATTTACCATCTACTTTGTTATTTATTTGGATATTGTTTATTCTTAGGTTAATTTGATCTGAGGATTTATTACCAAACAAAATATAGAAAGTTTTGTCAATGTTAAGGGTGAGTTTGTTAGCAGTTAGCCAAATATGGACTTTATTTGGTTCAGTATTCACTGTGACATTTAGAGCAAGCGGGTCAGGACTGGAGAAAATAAAGATTGTGTCTTCAGCAAATAAAATTGGTTTGAGGTGTTCAGAGGCATGTGGAAGGTCATTAATGTAGATGAGAAAGAGGAGAGGGTCATTGTCACTGCTTTTCCCAAAAGCGGTGAAGTTCTGCGGGGAACGAAAACATATTATCATGATTTTGTGTCTAATCGACTAAGTAGCACGCTCGCGCGCATTGAGTGGGGTACTTAACCGCGCGTGCGCAGACTCGGCGACCTCTTGCTCACCTCTTCCTCGCCAGTACACTACAAAACGCCCACCCTCCTCCCGGGAAACCCTGCTTCCCCAGTTTTACTTCCAAGGGAAAACGTTAAAGCAGTTTGCTGGGGACACTGGTTCCATCTTGCAACGAATCTGTGTTACCTTGGGGGTGCTTCAACGGAACCCCCAAAGTGAACCCCCAAAACTAATTAGAGATGTCACTTCACTGTATTTGATTTAATCATCATTATAACGGCTATCCATTAATATTATTTCGGTATAATAATTTATGGTTATTCACTAATCATTATTAGTCACCATGATTAATTATCCATTTTAATTATCTATTTATTCGTTATAATGAGCTAGTATGCTTCTTCATTTAAGGATTATCAATTACTTAATCACTTATGATTATTAATTAATTATTTGTATTTAATAAATAATTAATTATTATTTATTATTATAAAAATAAATTAAGTCCCACTCTGTGAGTGTTTTCTTCCAATCCGCAGAAATAAATATAAATATAATATATATATATATATATATATATATATATATATATATATATATATATATATATATATATATATATATATATATATATATATATATATATATATATATATATATATATATATATATATATATATATATATATATATATATATATATATATATATATATATATATATATATATATATATATATATATATTATAATAATAATAATAATATACTCGCTCCAAATGCATTAGCCTAATGAGAGAAGCAAAGCTCTTCTTTGTACTAATTATGGAACTCAACCCTTTCCCTACTTCCAGTTAATATCCCTTCCAACCTTTGGAGAACAGTGAGGTGTTGCCCGAGCATATAAGCAGCAGAGGAGCGAATAATAACACTCCACAGATCTCCAGTATCATCTATTGATACTAGTAATGGCTCAAAAAGGGCCACCACTTACGGGCTATTCATGCCCGTGCCACCTTTTGGGTGGCCTAATCTTCATCAATCAATCAATCGAATAATAACTCTTGGGTGGCTGAATCCTTATCAATCATATTGAATAATAACTAGTCTACTTTCAAGTGTGGTCTGGAACAGACACTTGCGAAATACTGTACCGGCTCTCAGTGCGCTCAACTCTCACCATTGAATTGAATCACACCATTGCTCGCCAAAGTATCACCTGCATATTTCTGTATTAGGCAAATGCGTTTGGAGCCAGTATATTATTGGTATAATTTACTCGCTACAGCTAAATGAATTGTGGGGTTCAGTCCCTAAGCTAATCATGTGCCTCTGTAACACCCTTTCCACTACCGCCCACAGGATGGGTATGGGGTGCATAATAAATGAACTAAACTAAAAAAAAACATTTAGGAAAAGGTATTAAATATAATTAGTCGACCAAGTAGAATTAACAGACCCATCTCATTATCTATAAATAAATAAATAAATAAATAAATAAATAAAACTAAGTTTTGGTCTGTTTTTTCCCACACTTTGCCCGAAACCCTGTGCTTATTAGTGGCTTTAGGCATTTATTTATTTATTTATTTATTTATTTATATACAAGAAGGTACAATTGGGTTTGTGAGAATACAAAGCATGGTACAGTAATTGCACTCTTGTAAAGCCACTAGTACGCGCTGCGTTTCGGGCAGAGCATTGTTGTTCTTGAGCATTGTATGTACTATTGGGCGCATCCGATCCCACGATCGTCGTCGCCCCTAAATCAACACAACATTGTATGTACTAGCTCTGTCTAGAAATCCAACATTATGTTTGTAACTCATTTTGTATGTACTTTTACCTGAATAAACATTTGATTTGATTCGATTTGATTTGACATAAGCTAATGATAATATGGAGCAAATATATTACTGATTCAATTTCTTTCTTTATTGTGCACCCCATACCCATCCCGTGGGCGGTGGTGTAATATATTACTGACATAATATACTTGCTACATATTAAATACATGAAGTGATAATGAAACCAGTAAATCGTGTAGTACATAAAATATACTACTGAAAACCGTATCAGTCGGTAAACAAAATATTGTGCTCCTTTTATTACAAATTCCCGAATTTTAGAACTTAAGTTCGCGACTTCCAGCAAATCCGATCTGGCAACCCTGGCCATCACAACACAGCTGACTCGCTGAGGAGGAATGTTGTGGTGACCAGTGTAGTGGGGAGTAGTGTTGTGGTGACCATTGTTGTGGTGACCATTGTTGTGGTGAGTAGTGTTGTGGTGACCAGTGTAGTGGTGAGTAGTGTTGTGGTGACCATTGTTGTGGTGAGTAGTGTTGTGGTGACCATTGTTGTGGTGACCAGTGTAGTGGTGAGTAGTGTTGTGGTGACCATTGTTGTGGTGAGTAGTGTTGTGGTGACCATTGTTGTGGTGACCATTGTTGTGGTGAGTAGTGTTGTGGTGACCATTGTTGTGGTGACCAGTGTAGTGGTGAGTAGTGTTGTGGTGACCAGTATAGTGGTGACCAGTGTAGTGGTGAGTAGTGTTGTGGTGACCAGTGTAGTGGTGAGTAGTGTTGTGGTGACCAGTGTAGTGGTGACCATTGTTGTGGTGACCATTGTTGTGGTGAGTAGTGTTGTGGTGACCATTGTTGTGGTGAGTAGTGTTGTGGTGACCAGTGTAGTGGTGAGTAGTGTTGTGGTGACCAGTGTAGTGGTGAGTAGTGTTGTGGTGACCATTGTTGTGGTGAATAGTGTTGTGGTGACCATTGTTGTGGTGAATAGTGTTGTGGTGACCAGTGTAGTGGTGAGTAGTGTTGTGGTGACCATTGTTGTGGTGACCATTGTTGTGGTGACCAGTGTAGTGGTGAGTAGTGTTGTGGTGACCATTGTTGTGGTGAGTAGTGTTGTGGTGACCATTGTTGTGGTGAGTAGTGTTGTGGTGACCATTGTTGTGGTGACCAGTGTAGTGGTGACCAGTGTAGTGGTGAGTAGTGTTGTGGTGAGTAGTGTTGTGGTGACCATTGTTGTGGTGACCAGTGTAGTGGTGAGTAGTGTTGTGGTGACCAGTGTTGTGGTGACCATTGTTGTGGTGACCATTGTAGTGGTGAGTAGTGTTGTGGTGACTATTGTTGTGGTGAGTAGTGTTGTGGTGACCAGTGTAGTGGTGAGTAGTGTTGTGGTGACCAGTGTAGTGGTGAGTAGTGTTGTGGTGACCATTGTAGTGGTGAGTAGTGTTGTGGTGACTATTGTTGTGGTGAGTAGTGTTGTGGTGACCAGTGTAGTGGTGAGTAGTGTTGTGGTGACCATTGTTGTGGTGACCAGTGTTGTAGTGACCAGTATAGTGGTGAGTAGTGTTGTGGTGACCAGTGTAGTGGTGAGTAGTGTTGTGGTGACCATTGTTGTGGTGAGTAGTGTTGTGGTGACCAGTGTTGTGGTGACCAGTGTAGTGGTGAGTAGTTGTGGTGACCAGTGTAGTGGTGAGTAGTTGTGGTGACCAGTGTAGTGGTGACCAGTGTAGTGGTGACCAGTGTAGTAGTGACCAGTGTTGTGGTGACCAGTATAGTGGTGAGTAGTGTTGTACTCGCCTAGTTTTGCTTGCAGGGGTTGAGCTTTGGCTTTTTGGTCCCGTCTCTCGCAACACCAACCGTCAATCAACTGGTATACAGGTTCCTGAGCCTACTGGGCTCTATCATAGCTACATTTGAAACTGTGTATGGAGTCTACCTCCACCACATCACTGCCTAATACACTCCATTTGTTAACTACTGTACTTTGACACTGAAAAAATTCTTTCTAATGTCTCTGTGGCCATTTGGGTACTGTTTCCACCTGTGTCCCCTTGTTTGTGGTGCACCCCATGCTAATGAGTTTGTCTTTGTCCACCCTGAGAATTTTGTAGGTGGTTATCATGTCTCTTGTTTTCCAGGGACGTGAGGTTCAGCTCCTGTAGCCTTTCCTTGTAGCTCATACAGTTCCGGAACTAGTCTGGGGGCATACCTCTGAATCTTCTCTAACTTTGTCTTGTGTTTAACTAGATAAGGTCTCCAGGCTGGAGCTGCATATTCCAAGATTAGTCTGACATAAGTGGTATACAAGGTCCTGAATGATTCTTTACACAAGTTTCTAAAGGCTGTTCTTATGTTGGCCAATCTAGCACATGCCCCTGTTGATGGGGGCCTCAGGGGACAGGTTCAATGTGATATGAACCCCCAATATGAATAGTTGATATGAATAGATATGAATAGTCTTTCTCTCTAATTGACTCTTCAAGTGTAGTAGTGACCAGTGTAGTGGTGAGTAGTGTTTGGCTAGCCTTTTTAACTGCTGTTCCTGCCGGCTGTGCAACTTTCACTGAATGGTGGATTTTGACCCCAAGATCCTTTTCCTCGTCAATCTGCTGTAATGTAATGTTATTAATTTGGTAGTTGTGGCATGGGTTGTTGTGTCCCACATGCAGGGTCTTGCATTTGTCAATGTTAACCATTATGCTGCTATGGGTCAAATGGCCTTCAACACTGCCACGCACAACAACAACAACAACAACAACAAAATCCAATTTTTTTAAGTCTTATAAAAGTGTTCATTTGTGTTTCCTGAGCACGGGAAAAATAATAAAAAAAATTAATTGCACTTACCAATGATGTAAATGAGCTGAGAAGTTGGCCGATGATGTCACACACCTTGCTCACTCAAGCATGGTGCGTCCCAAAGGCATCGCACGTAGCATTCAAGCTGCACAAGTTGCTGTGAATTTACTTTTGCTGCATTATTTACAGTATCTGGCATATTTTCCAACCATTTTTATTCACTGGGATTGTTCAATATATTGTCACGATGTTGTATTATAATACAACTGTCATAAATTCAATACACTCCCATATTAGTGTCACAATTATGTGCACCAAAATGTTATATTTTTCAGGAAATATAAAATGTATTATAAATTAATTTTTTTACAATACTGTAATAACTTTTATGTTCAAATAGCCAAAAATCCGAAAAAACTAACTCCTTGCAAAGAATTCAGGCGGGATAGTCTCTATGCACTGTGAAACTGAGGTGCGATCGCTGTGCCACCATGCGCTAGGTCGGCCATATACGTATCAACAAACTCGTATCCCGGGGGTAAAGTTCGTAACCCGATTCAAATTTTCTGAAGAAATCGGGCTTGTAACCCGAAAAGTTCGTAAAGAGGGGCATTCGTAAACCGAGGTACCTCTGTACTGTTCCATATAATGTTACTTGATGTTGAATTATAATACAACTTTCATCCATTCAATACACACTTGCATATTAGTGTCACAATTATGTGTACACAAATATTTTCTTTTACACGATATATAATATGTATTCAGATTTTTCATCAATATATATACACGCACTCACTCAATATGTACAGGTTTTTGCACAATTATTGGACATTTTGAGGTCCTTGGCACAGTGGTAGTCATTGAAGCAGTTGACAGCACACAAAGGGACGGCACATGCTTCACACCATGTTTGCACCAGTTTACATTTGTTGCCTCGTTTGTGTGATTTTACAAACTACTGTACTCATGCATGCACGCTGGTCTATTGAATGCTTTCCAATTGGTGGCAAATATTTTAGTCTGTGTACTTGAAAGGCCTCTGTGTAAGTGAGCCTGGGTGTGGCAGCATGGTGCAATACTGGGTTCTGAATGGGTCTTTGTATGCCAGGAATGTCTTTGCCATACTTTGTCAGTAACTGTGTCACAATAGTAAAATTAAACGTACGGAAAGCTGGTTTACGACCTGTTTTCACCAGATACTTATTGAAACTGTTCAGCATGGTTCTGTCAAAAAGATGGAAAAACATTTTTTTCGTCCACTTCAATGTTTTCCATACACTCTTGATAGTGACCACCATTATGTCACATTTATCAACCATACGCATGTTGATATTTTAGTCCAGTACACAATCTGGTTTATGTATTGGTTGTTTCGTTCTTTGGTTCACCTTGCCACTGTGCAGCATTGTACCATTGTGAGCGGTTGTCAACATGTTCACTTCTCCTGTCTTTCCACCACACTGAGAGTATTTGATCACTTTTTCTTAACTGGCAAGTCACCAACTTCAATATTATTGTCAAACACTGGCATTTCCCTTCTTCTTGCCTTTACTGTGCCACACACTCCAGTTCTATTTTCAAGCAAGAACCTAGTTAGCAAGGGACTTGTATAATAGTTATGTGTATAAAATGTGGTCTTTGTTCAGCAATGGTGCTATCAGTGTCTTCACTACACTACCTGAGAAACCATGTTGGTCATTACCGGGAATGTCTACATTGCTAGCAGAATACAGAATCATGTGTAACACAAGTGACGTGTAACATCTGAGATGACGTGTTTTACACAATGTTTCATCAACATACATAGTGCAAAAAATACATACATTTCACCTATAGTAGTGTTTTTCCAACGGTGTAATCATGAAAAATCTGTTAACTCTTGTTCAATGAGATGAGCCATGTGAATGTTCGTTTGGTGAACAATATGTTCCATGAGCGGCTCATCAAAATATGCAGTAAAAAAGTCCATTTCACACATGTCCTCACCAGTATCAGGAAAAAGGTCTGTAATCCTAACATCTTTATTGTCAAAGGTAAAAATTAGTGAAACAAAATCTTCACCATCCCTCCACACAAGTGCACCTAATGTCCAGAGAGACGAAACAGCGGCACCACGGCGAGGAATTGTTGCACACCATGGACCAGGAGCTGAAGCCCGTCTACGCAAAGTACAGGCGTGAACTGAAGGTGAGGTAAAATCACGTGAACATGTGAGGGACTTTGTTCCACATTTTCTCCATGTGGTGCCATTTGGCGACACTTGGCTGGGTAAGACGCTGATGCGACAAAACATCGCTTGGTAATACCATTGGCACTAGCGACGGGCGTGGTAATCTTATGCTCTGATTCAACTTCACTAAAACCAGAAAAATTCACCTTCCTTTGACTTGTCTCCCAAAATATCCTACTACTCTAAATAAGTACGAGAACTGTGTGGTTGTGAGCAAATGCCCTTTATGTGTAGTGGAAGCGTGTTGAACAGTCTCGGGCCTCTGATGTTCATAGAGTTCTCTCTGAGTACCCATTGCACCTCTGCTTTTCAACGGGGTATTCTGCACATCCTGCCATGCCTTCTGGTCTCGTGTGATGTTATTTCTGTGTGCCGGTTTGGGACCAACCCCCTCCATTATTTTCCACGTGTAGATTATTATGTATCTCTCCCGCCTGCGCTCAAGGGAATACAGATTTAGGCTCTTTAGTCGGTACCAGTAGTTTAGATGTTTTACTGAGTGGATTCTAGCAGTAAAGGATCTCTGCACGCTCTCCAGGTCGGCATTTTCTCCAGCTTTGGAAGGGGCTGTCATTGTGCAACAGCAGTACTCTCTAGAGAGCACTAGCGTTTTGAAAAGTATCATCATCGGTACAGCATCTCTAGTGCGAAAAGTTCTTGTTATCCAACCTGTCATTTTTCTTGCAGTTGTGATGGCTACTTTATTGTTTTTTAAAGGTAAGGTCTTACGACATGAGTACACCCAGATCCTTTACATTGCCTTTTCGTTCTATGTACTATGTTCAGCCTCGCCATGGGAGCAGGCTGAATCTCAGTCTCACTCTCCATGCTATTATCATTGGACTCCTGTTCAAAGTCTTTATCGATGTCAGTCATCAACATCACTTTCTTCACCATCCGAAAATAATTCACTATTTACTTGATCTTGAGTCAATGATTGCATGGTGCGTGCCCTGGAGATGTTTGGCCGTGCGCTCCCCATGGTGACTGTTGGGTAACTGAAGTCTCCCACATGTTGGTGGCCAAGCTGGATTTTTTTCAAAATGGCGGCTGTTTACTATAGCCCATGGGCAGTGTATGGGGGAGCCCCCTCTACCCCGCTGGCCGTTTAAATCTTGAGCAGTACTCCAAAGCATCATATGATGCTTTGTGCAGTTTAAGGGTTAATGCACCCCATCAAATCTCTCTGTATTAATAGGCAATTTATTATAAAGCCTAGCCTCCACCAGAAGGTAAGTTTTGCAACAGTCCACTCCCCAAAGTCGAATTACTGACCCTGCCCAGAATGCAACCCCACAATTAAGCTGACTAACTCCTGAGTACCTACTTACTGCTAGGTGAACAGGTTCATTAGGTGAAACAAAATGTGAATAACCATATCTGTTCCGTCTGGGATTCGAACCTGGAATTCTTGATTGTGCGTTGAGAACGAACCCGACTATGCTACTGGGACCCCTCTGTCTGATACTAGGGACTCTGACCCTGCTACAGGACCCTACTATGTCTGTTGAGGATGAAAAAAGTTTTGGAGCAAACACAGTACCCTGGGCAACTAAGCTTTTCATAGAGGGTGATCTGGATTTTACTTTGTTGACTGTGACACTTAGTTCTGTTCATTAGGAAATTGAAGATCCATATTCTTACTTGGCCACTAATAGCTTTTGTGCACATTTTGGTTAAAATAACAACATGGTCACAGTTGTAGAAAGTTTTCATGAAATCTGTGTATAGTATATTACATCATTGTTTTACTTGTCTCTTATGACCTGGACAGGCGAGTGGCCGAGTGGCCAGGGTGGGGCGAGTGGCCGAGTGGCCAGGGTGGGGCGAGTGGCCGAGTGGCCAAGGTGGGCCAGGTGGCCATGTTGCCAGGATGGGAAGGAACTAATGTGACTTTTTTTTTTTTTTTTTTTGCAGGTGTTGGGCAACGAAGAAGACAAGGATGGTGGAGATGGAACTGCAGATGACAGATCTTTATGCTGTTCATCAGGAGCAGGAACAGGCAAGTTGATCATTAGTGTGTGCAACATGATTCTGTATGTGAGCTCAGGCCGGTCGGCCGAGCGGACAGCACACTGGACTTGTGATCCTGTGGTCCCGGGTTCGATCCCAGGCGCCGGCGAGAAACAATGGGCAGAGTTTCTTTCACCCTATGCCCCTGTTACCTAGCATTAAAATAGGTACCTGGGTGTTAGTCAGCTGTCACGGGCGGCTTCCTGGGGGTGGAGGCCTGGTCGAGGACCGGGCCGCGGGGACACTAAAGCCCCGAAATCATCTCAAGATAACCCCTCAAGAAGGCCTCACATGATAATGTACATGAGCTCTTTTCATATTGGAGGATCTGTGCTCTTCTGTCTCAACAACTTGCTCTTGACAATTTCATTTAGTTTATTTTATGTGCTTGCCCTTATAACAAAGGCCCAGACCTATCCTGTGAGTGATGGGGGACTAGCTACAAAGACACACAACAGTTTTATGAATTTAACCCCAATATTTGTTGTAGCTAAGCATGATACTGTAGTAAATTAATGAGCTAGTGTCTGAGTTTGTTGGTACGGTAATTAGCATGGTCTTGTTAGCATTTTAGAGCCCAATATTCATATCTATCATAAAATCCATAGCTATGCAGTGAACTCCAAATTACATTTGTACATAACCAGCTCAGGAGCTAAACAAACATTAGTCATAGGAGTTCAGCCTACCGGGGACCACGCGAGGCACAGGGACCAATGGCCCTGGGAACCCTCCCCCCTGTGGTTGGGGGTTTTCCTTATCTTCCATCGACTGGGGTTAGGTACCCAGAAAGGTAGGCATAACAAAACTTAAGAAAAGGTAAGGTAGGAAAATTGCAACTGAAAACCGAACAGAGACAGAACTCCCTTCAATCCCAGGGAAACGAGCAAATGTCACACTCCCTCGCCCCATCACTCATCTGCACAGCCCACACAGTCAATTATTACAAATTGTCTTGCTGCATGACATGTACCTGAGGATGAGGTGAAGATGAGGTGAAATGGATGTAGTGAAGAAGCACCTCACTTATAGGTCCACTGTATCTTGTCACTCCTGGTTTGCATGAGAGCTGGTGCAGTATGTTGTATGTTCTGTTGTGTTCTGGAAATTGGTAGTGTAAAATTAAGTGCTAGTTTGCTATTAACCCCTTAACTGCGCCGCTTCCAAATATGATACCCCTCAGTGCGCAGGAAATAAATTCTCTTGAAAAAATTCTTTTGTTTTTTAAAGTGTCAAAAACCCTTCCCTCAGTATGGGTATGTAAAAAAAAAAATCGAAATTGTACATACTTTGGCTGCTATGGGGTCCATAAGTTGGCTCATAACGTCATTCCCCGTTCACCCGTGACGTACGCTCCTGGGGCCAGTGGGGCGCCCGGGGCGGGGTGCGCGAGTTGCTGCAAATATATTTTTGTTCATTTTTTGCGCACAGTTCCAAATACATTTTATTTGTTTTTACGTGCTAATCCTATGTATAATGAACACGTACACTATATTATGGCAGTAAAACATCCGTACTGTCCAAAGACCCTGTGTTATGTGCATGACACTCGTGTACACATATGTTGCACATATTTACTATGTATCATGCTAATTTATGTATATATATACAATCTATTTACAGAATATACACTGTCACACACTATATACATTCACCATCAACACATTCAGAACATTGCGAGTGTGAGCAACCACACCCAGCCAGCCCTCCCTCACTCCAACATCTTACTCGCCAACATTGCTCCTCCCACCATACTGTTACAGTATTGTTTTTATTACACTATTTACACATGTTATATATATACCTATCTACATGTTTTATTTACCAGAACTATGCAAGTAAGCCAGTATTGTGTCCAAACAGTACAGTGGCCACCATACACTGCATGAGAAATCACACAGCAGACAGCAGATGACGCTACGATTACAACGTCATCGCCCTCACCAAAATAGCTCCTCTCAACATACTCCGGTTGCTGTTATTACACTATATACACTCACACTGTATATACCGATGTACATGTGTGTTCCCCATAGCGAACCACGAAGCTAGTATGGTGAGCAAAACAAGAGTGGCTGCCACACAGTGAGGCTACCTCAATTCCTCCCTCCCTCACCAAAATTCCTCCTTCCACAATACTACGCACACCGCTAATTATAACCACAATCCTGGTCACTAATTCCGGTAAATGAATAATTGACCACAAGTTTATTTTGAAAAGGAACCTAAGAAGTCGTTTGAAGATTCCTAGATGGACGAAATAATGCTGTGGTGCTGTGGCTAGCGCTGTGAACATCGTGAACAGCATTGAATCACTGATATTTGAACATTGTACCCAGTCATTATCACACTCGGGCTCTTCTATAATACTATTATGGCTAAATAATACAGGTTATATATATATTTTGACATTATTAGGCAATGCTGTGGTCACACGCTGAACAGCAGTGCTGTGCGCTCATGCTGCAAGCACCAGCCTTGGTTGGTCACTGACCACTGAGGCTCTCCCGCCCGGAAATGTGGACCACGATTTTTTTTAAAGATGGCATCTGTTTACAAGAGCCCTGAGGAAGCTGATGTGAACCCTATGTAGCCACGGGAGTTTTGAATGGAATGTGAAAAATACAAATACCCGGAGGCACGTAGCGCACTCCAGACGTGGGCCTGCAGGCGCGTTGCGCAGTTAAAGGGTTAATAAATGGCTTGGTTTGCTTTATGTATAATGCCTCACCGATGTTCTGTCCTCTGTTGTAACTGTATCTGTTGATTAGTTTGGTGTTGCTTGTGGGGATATCTCTGGTGATGATCTGGTTATGTATAGAGAATATATGATATAATAATAATAATTCATATGTAATAATATAATATGTTCTTTAATAGGTCCTTGCTACTCGTGCATTGTTTGCTGTCAACTTGAAAGGGATTTTGTTGTCTTGCCTATACAGGTATATTGAATTCGGTGGGGCTGACAGTCCCTAATTGGGTATGTAAAGGCATAGACAACATTCATCTCTTTCAAGGGGTTTTGTTTAGTTTCAGGAGAGTTCTTGATGAGCAAGTTGGCAGCTTTCTTGCTCTTATAGTATATTATTACAGTAATTCAATCTTCTGGTTGGTATCTGTAGGGGTCACATTTCTATCAATAATGTTTTTCAATAATATTATGAAACTGCTTACTATTTTTTAATCATAGCCTGCAGGAAATGTGCATGAAGATGGACTCAAGGGCGAGGACTGTAAAAAGCAAAAGTTGAAGGTGCCGAGGAGGATCCTTCACTTCTCTGATGGCACATTGGAGGAGTACAGCACTGATGAAGAGGATGAGACTGATAATCGTCCAGATACGCTTGCATTAGTTGACCCGGTAAGTTGACATTTATCATTTATAGTTATGTAATTTTAGTATATTGTGGCACAGTATTCTTCAGATTTTTCCATATTATGGAGTATAATACTAACTGTATATAACTACAATGATAAATTAATGGATTTTGTTTATACAGTGTTGTATGTACAGTATTTTAATTTTATAAATATATTTTATTGTTTCAGAAAAGCTTAAGGTGGGGACCATGGCTGTATTACTGGATGCTGTATACGGGGACATCAGCGCTGTCTGCATGTGATTATGTAGGCGAGGGTCTGGCCAACGTCTTGGGTATTACATCCCCAAAGTATCAATACGAGATTGACGAGTACAAGAGATGTGAGGAGGAGGTGAGTGTGTGATACTCAATGTTGATGTGTCCAATAATTTGACTGTTTTTCAAGTTGATATGATTACCTAGAGTTACACCACTCCTTGCTCAACCTGTTCTGCAAAGAACATCGCATCTTGCTCGTATGTGTTACATGATAATTTTGTTGTATTTGTGTCTAGCTTCAAACACGAGCATGTTACAGTTATGTTTTAAAGAGGTGAGAGCAATTAAGGATGATAGTCATTTACAATTAATGTATCAAGTTTGGAGAATTTACACATTTCAGTGCAAGAACCAAGGCAAATAGTTCGGTCTGAAGGGTAGAGGTCCAGTTGTTTATAAGGACGCCCCACTCAAAATATAATCCATCGCCCATTGTAAGGACAACTGCACTTCTAGCTGCACTCGTGGGGCAGTGTAGGGAACCATCAGTGTATATGATTTGAGAGAGAGAATGCTCTGTGGACAGAGCATCAATATGGCTTAAGATATTAAGCTTTGCCTCAAGACGAAGCTTGGGTTGATCTCTAATTTGCTTCTTGGGGTGGAGAGGGAGGGATTAAAATTAAAAAGGGTGTAATTTCCCATGGTACAGAAGTGTCGTTGTTCTCTGTTGGTACAAATTATAAATCTGATACATTCTGAGTTGAGTTCCAGTTTATCCATTTGGAGCAATGTTGACCTTCAATAAAGAAATTCTGGAGGGTTTCTGTGCAAGGGTTATTATGAGCTAGCCTAAGCTTAGTACTTTATGGGTTATGAGAAAGGTCACAACTTACAATGTGTACAGTATGATGATATTGGGTGTGATTTTGCTTTGGCTGTTTCTAAACTTTATACTGTATAGTACAGAACAGTACTCTGACTAAATTGCATTTTATTTTGTGTTTGTCTTATGAGCAGTCATAAGGTGCATTGCACCAGTCATTCTGGTGCATTGCCCAGAAAAATAATTTTCATGTACTGTATACTCTCAAAGCCTGTGTTTTAGTTTCTTCAATAGAATTTATTACACTTTTTCCTTTGGACTGAGGCCTTCCCTCCATGAAAGTGAGTAATGGAGTTATGGGGGATGCATTGTGTTAACAGCTGACAATGAAACTACAGTATTTCTCTGTTCATCATGGGCCAGCATAAAATATAAAATTTTATTTTTACTTAGTGGTTATGGAATCTCGCATATGCAGGAGAAAGCAGAGAGAGAGGAAACAGCTGCAGAGATGGCTGGCTGGATGACAACTGAGGCTGCATCAATAGTTGATGGTGCCCAACCAAAGATTGTTGTTTCTCCGGCCATTCAGCAGCCACCATCGCCATCCCATGCTAAAAATCAGGTAATATTACTTATTTGTTTGAACTTTTGTTTAAATTATTACCCTATTTTTGTTATTATAATTCGAAACAAGAAGTTGTGCTATTAATCGTTTGTGTTCCACTCTGCAAGCTTGCCATGTTGTAATGCTTTCATGCACATGAACAGTCAAGGATTTTAAGAACTGAGATTTCATCACTTAAAAAATACTGACCACAAGATGGCATCAACAGATCTTTAAATTATACATTAAATATGAGCATCTTATCATTCTTAACCTGTGTTTGTATCTCCAATTGTTTCTATAAAAAAAATAGAAATCCTTGGTGATACTCATATTACGTGTACAGTAGCAGTTAAATATTAAAATGCTAGTAATAGTACTAATTATAGTTTTCACTGAATTTGTTGGTTTTTGTATACAGCACTGTGTAATATTTTATGTAGTAATACCTGTTTATATTTGCTTGGAACATTAAAGAATTATGTATAGTGGTGCTAAGAATGTTCCTATTGTTATTTCATTGTGCCTGTATAATCCATTGTGGGCAGATTTTAGAATATCTTCACACATCGTTTAGGGGGAGTGTTAATGACCTTAAGCCCTATGTAGGGGAAAAAAATTGTTGCATAATGCACCAAAATTTGCTCTGATGGCAGGACATATCAGTACTTGCAGTATTCCGATCACAAACGATACCCTTTGAAACTTTGCAATAAAACCAATTACTGTACCATATATGCTGGCGTACAAGCCGATCCTGCACATCGGTCAACCCAAAAAATTTAGAGACCTAATTCAGGTTTGGGCCTATATTCGCCGCATAAGACGATCCCTCCAAAACAAGGCGGCACCATTTTCCCTGCCCCACTGTACGGAAAATAAAAGATATGATATCTTATAACTATATGGTAGTTGAAGGAATATTTACTACACAAGGCAGGTAGTGTCAGTGGTTGTTAGGGAAGTCATATGGTCAATAATTGTCAGGTAGTGTTAGTGGTTTTCATGGGAGGCAGGTGGTGTCAGTAGATGCCATGGGAGGCAGCTGGTGTCAGTGGTTTTCAGGCAAGACAGGTGGTTAGTGGTTTTTATGGGAGGCAAGTGGTGTTAGTGGTTTTTATGGGAGGCAAGTGGTGTTAGTGGTTTTTATGGGAGGCAAGTGGTGTTAGTGGTTTTTATGGGAGGCAAGTGGTGTTAGTGGTTTTTATGGGAAGTCAGGTGGTCAGTGGTTGTCAGTCGAGGCAGGTGGTGTCAGTGGTTGTCAGTCGAGGCAGGTGGTGCCAGTTGTTGTCAGGGAAGGTTGGTGGTAGTGGTGGACGTTGTCAGGGGAGGTGAATGAAGATGTGTGTCCTGCACAGGATTGGTGAGGCCTAGCGACACAAGACTTACCGGTAGCTAGCCCCTTGAACGGCATTAATTGTTCAGTACAGTGACACCTCGACCTACGACAGTCCCTACTTACGAATTTTTCGAATTACTGTATGATCACAATTTTGTTTAAACATATGACTCGATTTACAACCATACCTCGATTAGCGAGCGACTTTGTGTATCGACCAAATAGCTGCTTAATGCACTTGTAAAGAATTTCATTGGTTTTTGTGCTTTTTTTTTAACATAAAAGTAATTATTATATATATCGCATCATGAGTCCCAGGAAAGTCAATGTTAAGATTCAACCTAAGAAAATAGTTGTGAATAGAGGCAGTAGAGAATGTCAGTTGTGAGTAGAGAAGATGCCAACAAGAGTCCTCAATGAAGGTAAGAGATATACATACTGTATTGTAACTAGAAAAAAAGAGCAGTATTTGGTATAAAATGTGTATTTAAGTTGATATTTTGAGGGTGTGGAACAGATTAATTCTATTTGCACTATTTCTTATGGGAAAATTCGGTTGGAATTACGAATTTTTGAATTACAACCCGTCTCTGGGAACGGATTAAATTCATAAGTGGAGGTACAACTTTATATACACAATTTTTATCTAACTGTTTGCACAAAGCACTTCGTATATGTACATTTTAACCTCTGGGCGGCACTGCTAATAATAGCCAACAACACCGCTGTGCCCAAGAAAAAAAAAATCCTTCCAAGATTGTTAAAATGTTTTCCCTGATTACGGGAAAAATAATAATAAAATTGTATGGGACATATTTTTGTCGTAATAGGGTGAAAGTCTGGCAAGAGTCGGGCACTTGTCAGGCACAAAGAGTACACGTCCGAGGGCCGGTCTCCTCTATACGAGCTGTCAGGCGGGAGTTGCCCCAAAGATATTACCATACAGTATAACCTAATTATTTAAATGTCTATGATTTTTTCTCTGGCTTTTTGTAGTACTGTAATATTTTTCAATAGTGTGTAGTGTGATATATTTATATAATAAAATGTGTAAACCATTGCTATACAGGGGTACCTTGGTTTAAGAATTTAATCCGTTCCTGGAGACGGTTGGTAACCCGAAAATTCGTAAACTGGAGCGAATTTCCCCATAAGAAATAATGGGAATGAATTAATCCATTCCTGACTCCCCAAAAACTTCACTTCAAAGTAAATTTTATACCTAATTCAACCAAATCTTTACTACAAAAGTATGTTCAAGTTATTACTTTCCCTTGCTGATGACTCCTGTTGGCATATGGAAGATGGTGAGGAAGGGAAGAAGGAGAGGTGTTACTGTTTGGAAGGGGAATCCCCTTCCATTATAACATCAGGCAGTGAAGATTTCTCTGGAGTGCACTCTATGGCATGTTTTGCCTGCATACCACTAGGTCCTGGTTGTGGCTCACTGCTTGATTTTCTCACTTTTCTCACAAGGAAATGTTCCATTGAAGATTGTTTTTCCCCTTCTTTGCAACACTTGAATGTAGTGAGGCATCACATTGTCATTAAAAAGATCAATGCAACGGTCTACTACAGCTTTATCTGGATGATTCTTTTCAGCAAAACTTTGCAGTCCTTCCCATACTGCACACATTTTCTTGATTAATGAGGAAGGGACATTCTCTACTGCCTCCTCCTTCCTCCCCTGAAGATTTGTACTGCCTAGCTAGTTCAACAACACGAGTACAATTTTCATGTTTATGAATGATCTCTTGTTTTTCCTCTGTGGTCATTCTCTCGTGTGATTTCTTGCTTTGAACCTTACCACTGGCTTTCTTGGGACCCATAGCAAGATATATAATAACAACTTTTATGTTCAAATGGCCAAAAAACTGTAAATTCTTGTGAAGAATTCAGGTGGGATAGTCGCCGGGCGCAAGGCACTGATAAACTGAGGCGCAATCGCCATGCCACCACGCGCTAGGTCGGCCATACGTGTATCGACAAATTCGTATCCCGATGCAAAGTTTGTATCCCGATTCAAATTTTCTGAACATATCGGGCTTGTAACCCGAAAAGTTCGTAAACAGGGACATTCGTAACCCGAAGTACCACTGTACTCAAAAGTATTGTGTGCATATTAGTGATTCAATTATGTTCATTAAACAAGGCCAAACTATCAATAATTTCAAAGTGTTATATGACAGTGTTGGGAAGAAGGGACTCCACGAGTGTAGCTCTCATCCTGTAACTACACTTAGGTAATCACACACACACAGACGCGCACACACACACACACACACACGCACGTATGTGTGGTGACTGTGAGCTGGAGGAGGCAGGAGTCACACTGCAGCAAGCTCCTGGAAATATCGAATTACCTAAGTATTGGGAACAGGTTGAGGGCTACAGTGGTGTCCCAGGTTACATAAAGGTTCAGGGAAGTGTAAAAGCAAATAAAATACAATAAACAAGTAAAAGTGAGTGAAAATAGCTGAGTGGAAAAGTTTGTTTTGGTTATAGAACAAAAACAAGGATGGCTGCCGCCACCACCCCCACTGAGAATGTAGACACACCAACAGATGATGGTTTCAAAGGATTCTCATCACAAGATATAAGGAAAGGAGGTGTTCTTGGCAGGTTAGAGATAATTGAGGATATGCAAAAGTAGTATGAAGAAAAAGTGCTTAAATTGGAAGAGGACAATGGAGCTCTTAGAAGTGAGCTTTGCACTCTAAAAGGGAGTATTCTTCAGCAAGGTAAGATTATTACTGCATTAACAGACAAGGTAACAAATCAGGAAGAGCAAATCAAGGAACTAGTGAAAGAAAATGAGGAGTGGAAAGTGAAGTGTGGTGACCTTGAAGAAATAAACAAGAAAATAGACTCATATGGTGAACAACTCCAAGCGAGCCTAAGGGCTAACATAGAGTTAGGTAAGGATCTCCAACTGGAAACTTCACTGACAACTCACATAGAGGAAGTGAATAAAGAACTAGAAAAGTATAAAGAAGAAATAAAAACGACATATGCTCAAGTTGTAAAAGAGAGAGACTATCAAAGAAGTGTGTTCGGAAGTCAAAACCAGAAATGACCAACAAGAAGCAGAAATTAGGCAAGTAATTAGGAAAGAACTGGTTACCAACAGTAAACTAGTACAAAACACTGCAGATAGAACTAAGTCCATAATCATTTTTGGATGTTTAGAGAAGGAAATTTCATCTAGGGTGGACAGAGCAGCAGAAGAGATGAAAATCATAGAGAAAATAGTAGGTTTAGGAGAAGGTACAAAGGAAAATGTCTGTGATTTTAGAAGGATAGGAAAATATGAGAAAGACAAGAACCGCCCCTAAAGGGTGACATTTAATGGAGTGAAAAACATGATGGAAGTGCTAAGAAATGCCAGGAAATTGCAGAGTGATGAGGTTGGCAAACTTTGGTCAATAAGACAAGACCTCTCCAAGGAAGACTGAGAAAAGCTGAAAATGAACCTAATTGAGGCAAAACGTCTAAATGGGGATAGAAATGAAGAAGACAAATTCTTTTTTTCTACAAAGTGACAGGGACTGGAAAGCTTGTGAAATGGTACATAAAAACAAAGCAACAAGATCAGTAGTGGAAGGGGGAGTAAAGAGCAAAGGAAAAGGGAACATGTTCTTGAAAATTGTATATACCAACATAGATGGAGTGAGGACAA